AGTGTACCCCTTTCTCCACAACCTCTCCAGCATAGGCTATCATTGGTGTTTTTGATTTTAGCCATTCTGACAGGTGTAAGATGGTATCTTAAAGTTGTCTTGATTTGCATTTCCCTGATCGCTAAGGAAGTTGAGCATAACCTTAGGTGTATTTTGGCCATTTGAACTTCTTTTGTTGAGAGATCTCTGTTCAGCTCAGTGCCCCATTTTATAATTGGGTTGATTAGCCTTTTACAGTCTAGTTTTTTGAGTTCTTTATATATTTTGGAGATCAGACCTTTGTCAGTTGCGGGGTACTTTGAACAGTTGGGTTCTCTCTTTTTTTTTTTTTTATTCCTGCCAACGTTGAAGGATAGTGCTTCCTTTATTGAAAACTATTTTAATTATTTTTTCAAAATCTCATATTGTACATTTAAAGCATATTTATCTCTCCTCCCCCTCCTCCCAGATCCACCCCTAGCTCTCTACCACCCATCACTATGTATCTATCTCTGTCTGCACTTATATATGTATCTATATATGTATCTATGTATGCATCTATGTATGTATCTATCAGTCTATCTATCATCTATCTATCTATCTATCTATCTATCATCTATCTATTGTCTATCAATCATCTATCTTTATCTACCTACCCATCTACACCCATCAAATCAATTTGTGCTGTCCAAATATCCCTGGGTGTGGCACCTGCCCGGGACCCTCTTCAACCAAGCGTCACACTCTTAAAGAAAACTGACCCTTCCTCTCCTAGCAGCTATCAAATAAATGGTTTCTATTGAACTCTCCAAACTTCACCATGGATTTTCTAGTTTTTGATCTTTTATTCATTTGCATACTCAATGGTATTGCCTCTGAATTTTCTTTGGTTTTTTTTTTTTTTTTTTTTTTTTTTTTTTTTTATACTAATTGTTTTTCCTTTTTTTTTTTTTTTTTTTTTTTTTTTTTTTTTTTTTTTTTTTGAATAAGGAAAATTACATCAAGCTCAACCTCAGTACTCTGTAGATTTGGCAGTGTGTCTGGTGAGAGGAAATAACATCACTGATCTTCTGGCCTTTCCTTTCCCTTCCCTTCTTTTCTCTCTTTTTCCCTTTCCTTCCTTCCCCTTCCCCCTTTCCTTTTCCTTCCCCTCCCCTTTCCCTTGTTCCTCTTCCCCTTCCCTCTTCCTCTTCTCTCCTCTTCCCCTCCCTCCCCTTGCTCTTCCCTTTTCTTCAGAGCTCCCAGCATTGTTTCCCTCTTGGCTCTTCAAGAATTGCCAAGAGTCCACATACAAAACTCTTCTGTTGCCTGGAGAGCATAGGCTGTCCTGTTTGTTGGTATGTGATGGGCTAGTGCATATTGTCCTGTTTGCTGATCAGTGATTGGCTAGTGTGTAGTAAAAGAAACACAGAAAGAAATGGCCAGAAAGTGGATGACCTTTCATTACACTTATCCAGAGTCCTCTGTGTCTCATGACTGCTGTGTGGTTGGTGCTTGTTCATTTCCGGTGGTCAGTGCACATGGAGAGATAATTACCAGGGGAACAAGGGCACTTTATGCCTCTTCCTGAGGTTGGTGCTAGTATCAAAGGGTTAGGAGGGAAGAATGAAGCATCCATAGTCAGGCTTCATCCCTGCCCCTTGTTCATTTGTGAGCTGTCAGACCCATGTTAGGCCCACTTAGCTCTCCATATGGTGGTCCATGGCTGGCAGGGATTTCAAAAGAGTCAACAGATGGACAAATATTTTTACATTATTTTCCTGACTATATTTAATTTTATAGTGATAAAATTAAGTTTCCTATTTTAGCCCCACAAATTCCTTCTCTTTCTACTCAGTGTGGGCAGAAAAGGTATGAGTGGGGTTGATCTTGGTGTTCTGTTTTCCAGGTGGCGAGATTGGCCTGGCACCTTGTTTTGACACCATTATATTGGTGCTTTCGGATGGTGAGGCCAGCCCTTTGGTGAATGACTGTTGCTACAATGGACCCGATCCATCTGCTCCTCTTCATGAGTCCTTTCCCATGTACGAGCTTAACATCACGGTGCATCCTGTCGACAACCAGCCGCCTTCAGTCCTTATAGGTGACTGTGTTGGTCCTGTGTGTATGAATGTCTTAGTGTCACACCCAAGGCTTAGTGAAAGAATTCTCTTAGATTAAAACACCAAGAAATGCAGTTGTTGTCCAGGAATCATCTCAACAGAAATGTATAATGAATTCAAAATCTGTAAAAAAAGCAATCACAGGGCAAAAGAATTTACTTGCCTGAAAATTTATGTTTCCACATGTAGAGAGAACGCAACAGCACATGTGTGTCTGTGTGTGCCTGTTACAAGGATGTCGAGAGCCTCAGATACACTGCTTTAGCTCACATGGGAAAGCATCATTTGCCGGCTGGAGAGAGAATAATTGATTTCATCCATAATAATTTCTACTAGCACAGAATGCGTTTACCACAGAGACCATTTATATACATTTAACCTTACATATTTTTCAGAAAGTCATCCCTTCGTAGGCATTGTGTATAAGTTCTGTCTCACAGAAAAATAAGCATATGTATGAACGCTCTTGTAATTTGCTAACTATCTCCCAAGCAATGTTCTGGAAAGGAAGCATTATCCCAGCAGAACAATTAAGCACCAAGGCATGAAAAAAAAATGTTCGTTATGAGCAATTCATAATCGCTCTCGGGCAATTAGCACTCTGACAAACACTGGTAGCGACTGATCTTGAGGAGTACATAAACTACATTTAGTGGCTTATCATTAAAACAGTTTGGCAATTCTTATTTCCATTTATCACTTCTATAGAGACACAAGGGAAATCAGAGTTCCTTGAGAATGACTGGAGGGCTGGAGCAGAGTGCTTAGCATGGCTGCCGCCTTTCCATTATCATCTGGCTGGCTTGTAGAAGAAGAAGTATACAATTCCATAAGTCAAATTAAATCCCACTCATTACCCCTGCATTTTTTTTTTCCGCAAAGAGAATTTATGCCCAAGAAAACGAGCATCTCCCATGAAAGCGTATTTGCCTGTGGGAGGCCGTGCTGGTGTGGATTGCAATCATGCCCTTCGGTTCTCACTATTCCAATGGAGGAGTTTAGGCTCACAGAAGTGTGCGTTTTTAAATTTTACTACATTTTTATTAATTGTTTTGTGAGTGTGTGTTCTGGGGGTTAAACGCGGGTCATCGGGCCTGGCAGCAGGCACAGTTACCCACTGAGCCATCTCACTGGCCTGTGACTGCTGTTCTTGGTGTGCAGGTAGGCCGCTCGTGGTGGACGAAGGCTTCTCAGGAACCCTCACGACTCATCATTTGACGGCCACTGACCCGGACACCGCGCCGGATGACTTAGAATTTGTTTTGGTGTCGCACCCCCAGTTTGGCTACCTTGAAAACACACTCCCTTCTGCAGGTTTTGAGAAAAGTAACATGGGCATACGCATAGGTAAGTCCTGATCTCCTGGCCGGCAGTGTCTTGCTAGTGTTTGTGGATGTACCTAGCTGGACCATGCTTAGGAAATTCACAAGAATTCAAATCACCATATATGCTTCCAAGAGATTATTCTGATGATTCTAGCTGTTATGTTGAGTCTTAATTGTTTCTCATTTTAACTTTTAACTTAGTTTTTCTTATGCATGGACATTAATAACTGAAATAATTAGAAACTTCACTTTTGAAAATGATTTGAATCAACACTGAAGTACTCACCTTTCCAATGCCTTCCTGGCAACGTGGCCCTGCGAGAGACTTAATCTGGTGGGAACCACAGGGTCTCATTCTCACAGTGTTTTAGCATTTTTAATAGGTATTACTGGAAAATACTGAGAAATATGCCATGATTGGTACTGAAAGAGAAAATCTGAAATGTTCAAGTAGGTCACATTAATCTTTTGTTGTTGTTTTTCATTTTTGTTTTTGGAGGCAGGGTTTTTCTGTGTTGCCATAGACGTCCTGGAACTCACTTTGTAGACTACACTGGCCTTGAACTTGGAGGTCCTCCTGTCTCTGCCTCCCAAGTGCTGGGATTAAAGGCGTGCACCACCATGACCCAGCTTAATTTTGAAAGCAAACTGTTTCTCAGCAACCAGAATAGCCCTTAATAAAACAAAACGTAAATAGAAAGCAAAACCCAAATCCTCCAACGATAATACTTTGTAAATAAATTATTTTTCAATCTCCTTTAAAGACATTTGTATTTTTAAATTTGAGTGAGATAAGATTTCAGATTAATCAAATTAAAGGTTATGCAACTTTTCTTGTGATTTAATTCACAATTTTCCTCTTCTGATTTAAGGCTAGTTGGACATCAAGCCAACTAACTCCACTCGGCGCAGTGAGTTTCTTGATGTCTGTTATGTAGACAAATCATGGATCTCCACTCGTTTTGCCTTTGTGTCAAAGAGGTGGCATCCTCCTTATCCAAGTATGACAAAAGTCTTGTGTCAGAAGGACAGTTTAGCCAAGGGCAGTTCTCTGTGACTTTCAGTTCATGTGTCTGGAGAGTGACCACGAAGTCCCCTGCATCTTGATGCGTGGTGATCACAGTTTCACTCTTCCGGCAGGTTTGTGTCCTTCCTTCCTGTCTATGGGACCTGCCTTTCTGTGGATGGCTGGTAGGCGTCGCACTAGCCCCACTGTGACCACATACCTGCTTCACGGAGAAGCAGCTGGTAAAGACCGGAAGTTCCTGGGGAGGGCTATTTATCATTTCCCCGTTCTGTCTTGGTGTGTGCTAGCTTCGTTCCGGTGGAGAGACATGAAGGCTTTGCACATTAACTACGTGCAGTCCAGGCACCTGAGGGTGGAACCAACTGCCGATCAGTTCATGGTGTACGCCACAGATGGGAAGGGACGCTCCTTAGAGACAACATTCCATGTTGTCATCAACCCCACAAACGATGAAGCGCCTGACTTTGCGGTACAGAATATCACTGTAAGAAACATACCGAATGTTCCTTTTTATTTTCTTATCTTTTTCTGATTTTTATTTTTGCCTAGATAATCCCTTTATGTTGGTCCAGGTGCACCTAATATATTAATTTGCTGATGAGTAAGAAAAAAGAATCTTAGCTATAGAATTAACACCTGTGAATTATTAGCCTAGTAAGGATGGGGTGTGTGTGTGTGTCTGTATGAGTGTGTCTGTGTGTGAGTCTGTATGTGTGTCTTTGTGAGTGTCATAGAGTACCTACTGGATTTTAGATTCCGAGTCTTTTCCGTGTATTCATAGTTAATCCCCACAATAGGCTTTTAGGGTGATGGTGTTTTTATTGCCATTTCATTACTGAAGAAATGGGGCATAAATAGGTTAACTAAGTAACCCAAGAGATTTATGGACATGCCAGATTTGTGTCTGTATACCATAATTTTTCTCTATGTTTTTATTTACAAATAAAAGAACCATATTCTCTACTCTATGCTTCACTTTCTAAAGCAAAACTTTAATACATGTATGAAATCTTTTCTTATCAATATGCAGTTCCTTTACACATTCTGCATGTCTATATATGATTATTTAATTCATACGCATGCACTCACTAGCAAGTTGAATGAACACAAACACAGTCTTTGGCCTCAATGGAACTTGTGTGTTGCTTTGAATAATTTTGCATCTTGAGCAGGTTATTTCTCTTCAAGCTTCTGTTTCCCCATCTTCAAAAATATATATGTACTTTCCCCCGAGAGATTCTTAGGATGATTGAGTTGGACAAACACAGTAGGCCCTTAATGAGCGAGGGTTTTCAGCACCATTTAGTGTGTCGTCTTCTTTCTAATATTGACCAAAGCCATTATTTTCCCTCATTCTTTTTGCTAAAAATAATCACATTCTAAATGCGAAAGTCTTTATTTGATTTTAATTTTCTCCTGAATCTTAACAGCACACGAGCGTCACCTCAGCGTGAGATTTTAGAGCCAGCTCCTGCCTCCCCTCTTCTTTTGGCTCATGGTTTACTCTGGAGAGCCCTTCAGTGATTATGTGAAGAAAAAAATCGATGACTGATCGCTCCTGCACCTATTTCTACTATCCTTATCTGCCCGGGGCAAGGGCTTCTGGAGTAATTAGGCCTCTGGGATCGCTCCTGCACCTATTTCTACTATCCTTATCTGCCCGGGGCAAGGGCTTCTGGAGTAATTAGGCCTCTGGGATGTTGTCCCTGATCCCTTTGTGAATGGAATCATGCTTTCACCCTTGCTTCCTCACACACACAAACCACACACACGCACACACACACACACACACACACACACACACACACACACACCACAGACCCTTGGGCATTGGCAGAGACAACTTTTAAGCTTTAAGAATTTTTTTCGTCTTCACAGAACACATTTGGCTTTCCTGTTAGAAAATGTCCTTATTGTATAGATAGTTGGTGTTCCATCAAAATGTTTTAGTTTGTTATAATCGTTTGCAAACCTATTTAGTATTAAATATCTGTATATATATATATATTCCTTTAAACTTTTTAATCTCATAATTTCAAGAAACAATTTAATTTCCAAAAATTCCTTGGTAATCTTGTGGATGAATTTACCATTTAAAAGAGATACATCACCACACAGTCAAGAGAAAAACACTTCATAGTTAAGCTCTATATAGATGGAGACTTACAACATGTTTTTAAACTGCTTTCCTAAAGTTCTCAAGGGTGGGGAAAGTGAGATACTGGTAAAAGTTATTCAATAGGTTTATCATTATGAATTAATCTAAGATTTTTTTGATCTTTGAGAAGGTCAGATAAGAGTCACATTGGTTTTGTCAGAATGTCACAGTGCACTTGCAGAAATGGTCCCTTCAGAGCCAGTGGGAGGAGCTGGAAAAAAAAAAAACCATAGGCTCTCACGAAGGGATCCCCTCAGGTATAAGGATAGCCTGCTGGTTTTTGATTCTTGACATTGAACAGCTCTTACTAGTCCTTGACCACGCCGCTGGCAGGCAGGCCTTCCCAGTCCTTTCTGGTGGATTCTTGAGAACATCTACACTTCCCCAGAATTCAGCAAGTGGCTTGGCAGGTCCCCAGGAAGCGTGTGTGGAATGTATGTACTTTTAGTCCTTAGATCTCCCGGTAATTCAGAACAAAAACAAAAAATTCCATGTCCTATCCTCTCTCTGAGAAAGGAAACAAACAAATAAAAAAAAAACCAAGACAGCTAAGATGGCCAAGTCCTAAATGACTTGCCGTCTTGAGGCAATAGCACTCCACGGTGGCAGTGGTGGTGGTGGTGTGTGTGTCTGTCTGTGTGTGTATCTCTGTGTGTGTGTGGAGGGCAACTTTGTGCACTTATTTCTCGCCACTTTTATGCAAGTTTCAGGACTTGAACCCCCATCGCCAAGCCTTGTGTGGCAAGTACTTTCACCTACCGAGCCGCCTCACCAGCCCCACACAGATATTTTAATCATGCACCCTATGTCATGCGTGCAATGAAAGAGCACTTGGAATCTTTAGAAAAGATCTTAGGAAGATGAATAGATTCTTTTTACATTTCTGTTAAACAGAAATTTCGTTTTCTCGAAGCCAGTATCTGAAAATGCCATGGAAAATTTGAAGTAGGACATTTTCAGATAAGTGGGGTGGATTTTTGTTCTTAGCAGCTTTTGAAAAGACTCTGCTGTCTTGCTCCTGCTCAGGTGTGTGAGGGTCAGATGACAGAGCTGGATTCTTCCTTCATCACTGCTGCTGACAGGGATGTTCCCAAGGACCCCTTACTCTTCAGCATCCCTCGCAAGCCCCAACATGGCCTCCTCATTGACGTGGCGATCAGCAAAGAGTCTCCTCAGATCAAACAGGAAATTCACAACTTCTCCATGGACCTTCTCAAGGCTGGTAGGCCATGACTTAGCCTGCCCTTTTGTAGACTCTAAAGTTGCAATAGGAGAAGCAGAAATTTGTTTGGTGGGTACCAGAGACTGGGGGAAGAGGAAAGAAATGAGCTGTTGATCAAAAGGTACACAATTTCAGTGCAACAAGACCGAGTTTCAGGCATCTGTTTGTGCACTGTGCTGACCATGGTTAGTGACATGTAGGGCATTGCTAATAGTTCACACATGCACATACTAACAAGGTGAGGTAATGCGCATTAGTGTGATGTAAACCTGCCACAAGTTGCACATATCAAAATTTCATGCTTACAGATTTTTGTTAATTAAAACATAAATTGGAAAACTGTTTTACTCCCCCAAAAGATACTAACAAATCATAGAAATAGGGGGAGGAAAGAGCATGTTCTTCATGTGTTAATTCCTTCAGACTGAGCTGTGGGTTCTTGATTGATGAGGAGTGTACAATCTCAGCCAGACACTGTAGACAGTTGCAGACGCAGGGGGATGTTTTCTTTGACTTTTAGAATACCATGAACAATTACCATGAACAATTTTATTTGTGATTATTGGTACTTTAACACAGAATTTTAACATAATTTAAAATTTCTTTTTCAAACTATTGAGATCATGGGACTAAATTTCAAGAGGCTAGTCTGCCAAAATTTCAACAGTTGAAACAAATATAGATCCACATATAATAACCACGCATTAGTCTCTGTGGAGAGAGTTTGTTCTTTAGGGAAATGACACACTGGAACAGCCTGAATTATTTTTTAATTACCTTTTAAACGACCTCATCCCATTTTCCATGTGTAAAAATACTTTCAAAAATTTGAGCAAGTATGTGGTTCTGGAATTAGTGCCTGATCTCAGAGTCCTTTCTTCTCTGTGTGTTTCATTTTCCCAACCTGGAAGGTCTTTCCTCACCTTGGCTTGGCCAAGATGGCGCCTTCAGAACACGGCGCTCTCCTCCCACAGGAAGCCAGCTCTTCTCCGGACTTTGTCCTGGCGCTTTTCTCTTTCCCCTCCTGTCTTTCCAGTGTCTGTTTCTCTAATTAGAATGGAGTCTCCTTGTCCCAAAGGTTATTTTGTAATAGTTGCAGATGCCGTCTCGTGTCTGAGCCTTAAAAACCAAGTCACAGTCTCAGTTTCTGTGAATTGTAGAGAAATAAATTCCGGGACTTCATGGCTGATAAAGACCAAATCAGTTCCCATGTGCTGCAGACAATAGTGTTACAAACATAAGGAAAGGGAATAACCGCTTAAAATCTACCCCCGGGAGGTATGATTTTTGTTGATCATTCATTCATTCATTCATTCTTTTCTGTTTTCAGAGTCAGGTTAGATGATGCACGCCTGTAATTCCAGCATCGAAAGAGCCTGAGGCAGGGGGATCAAGAGCTCAAGGCTTTCAAGGCCACCCTTAGCTACACAGGAAGAGTTTATCTACAGGGGGAAAATGACAGCTTAAAGTCTCTTTTCATTCATTTATTTTTTTGTGTGCATTTTGGGGGACTCGTGGGGTTCCTAGTGCCATGGCTGATGTGTGGAGGTCAAGGGTCAACCTGTGGCATTTGGTTTGCTCTTTCCCCCATGTGGATTCTGGAGCTCAAGCGCAGGTGTGAAGACAAGAACCTTTACATTCTTAGCCATTCAAAGACCCAGGACAGTTTTTTAAAAAATGATAATTTTGGTTAATGTTATCAGATTAAATGTGTCATGTATGCATTGGGCAAGTTAAATAACATAGTCAATTCAAATGAAAAATAAATTGTTCACATGAATGCGTATTTTGGTGACATTTTTAAAAGTTAGGTTTTCCTTGCACTTTTTTTTTTGTTCACTTATGGCCATATTAAAAACAAAGCCAAACAATTTGAAGATATTCTCACAAACATCCTGCCCCTAACCATATAGAATTTGCCAACCCCTGCCGTAGTAGGGTAACTCACAATCACTTCCTTTACATTCTCAGCAGAGCCTGGGATGCTTTCGGCAACCACAGGGTTTTACCCTATGGAAGTACTTCACTGCAGTTTTTCATGGCTCTGTTCTATTTTAAACATTTTTTCATTTCTTGGCATTAGTGGTCATATGTCAGCAAACATTTTGCCTAAATCTCAGCATTTCTAGAGCTTTATCGTACATTTTGAAAATAGTAACTTAAAGTTTTCAATTGATTAGGCATAGGATCAGTGGGTAGGATTGAAGGATGGCTAAGGAGTGTTTTTATAGTGAAGCTTTGAACTACTTAGGATTCATTTTGGTGCCTATTTTTAATTTTTCACGTGTAATTCACTGTCTCAGATTTGTTAAATACCACATCTTTGTTATTACATGGTTTATGCGGTCTCCTTATTTTAGAAGAGGAAATTTAATGGGCTATGAATGCTCCACAAAGCAGAGTTCAAGTCACTTCAATGCACTGGTTTGTGCATTGGGCACACGAAAGCCTGGTATTAAAATGGCGTATCTGTGAGATGTGGCTGGCTCGACCAAAGCAAGACTCTCCTTCTCCTCTTTCAGGAATGAAGCTGGCCTATGTCCATGACGATTCAGAGAGTCTCACTGATGCCTTTGTGATCCAGTTGTCTGATGGGAAGCATACAATCCTTAAAACCATTTCAGTTGCTATCACCCCAGTGAACGATGAGAAACCAACGCTAAGCAAGTAAGCCCCCTGAGGGGACTGACTTCTGATTTCCACGAAGTTCTGTGGCTCTAGGTACATGGAGAGAAGCAAGGGTTCCCTTGGGCCCATCTTCTGCAGCTGCGCCGCCACTCAGACATCAGGACCTTCCGGTGTAAAATAATGCGAGGAAACGTGACCTAAACAATTAATCCTGAAATGATTTGATCTCCTTCTAAAAGTCCAGATTAATTGTAAATATAAAAATAACTGAACACAGAGTACTAAAAGGCATGTGTGTGTGCACATATGCGCCCACAGGGCTGTGCACAAACACACAAAATGCACACCATAACTCGACTGAAGGGTGGCAATGTTAACTGCCAACAGTCCTCACGGTAGATTTCCTCAGACTTTTTACTAAGAGTGATCAAGAGAAACACCCAGTCTCTCTTGTTTAGTCGTCTTGGTACTTCTCTATCAATTTGTACTACGTCCCATATGGATCAACACCATACTCTCTCACCTCAGAATGCTACGTCTTAGAATTCTAGTGCTGTGGACTGTGAAACTGGTTGGCAACCCCCTCGCACAGGGTTGCATTTCTGTGGTGTCAGCAATCTCTTCTGCGGTTGTCAAGCGTCACAGTTCACAGACTGCAGAGGTCTTCAGAAGGCCCGGCAGGCCGTTAGGGAGAGCTGCAGGCATGTGTCTGGCTCTTGAGGTCTCTGCTGAGACTTCCCCTTATGTAATGGTGTAGCCTTTAAGCATTAAGTAGACCAGCTGAGTTTCATCAAGCTAGGAACACGTTCCTGCGAAGCTTTCAACTCCTACAGTCTCCTGGACAGTGTCGGGAAAAGAAACCAGACAAGTGCCCGTCTTACCTTTCTCACTAGCTCCCGTCTTTCTACTTCTAGAGTCCCTTCTAGACGGATTATCTCTAACACAGCCCTTTCCCCAAGGTCTCTTTTGGGGTGGCCCAGACTGTGATACTTGTCACCCCTACATGTAATGCTGCCAGTCTTTCCCTGCCACATTCATCTTGCTCATGGTCACTCATCTTGGACAAGGCCCTGCTAATCTCCGTAAGCTCAGCAGCAGACTCGTCAGCTCTAGACTCCTGCAGTTGGCTCATCCGCTCCACTGCAGAGGTGGATGAAGTCCTTCTGCTCCGATCAGAGAAGTTGCCAGTCCTGGGCTAGCAGAGAGCCTTCTTTGAACGAAAGGGGTTGTAATGATGCGTCGGGCATTGCCTTCTCTGCAGAAGACCTGGTGGTCCCTGATGTCAGCTGGTGAGACTTGCTGTCCTTCGTCCCAAGGCCAAGGACTTTGAGCGTTCTTTTGTTTCTCAGAAGCAAAGCAGTGGAGGCGGACAGTAGTCACGTGTGAGCTCACTATGACCACAGGGGAGAGCGGAAACACTGGGGAAAGAAATCCCTTCCACACTTGGGCGAGGCCATGGAAAGGCTGCGGAGCCCACATGGAAGCTGCGGAGCCCACACGGAAGCTGCGGCTGTCACTGTTTCATCTGCTCGTGCTTCCCTTTGGTGTCTGGATGCCAGGAGTCAGCCCGGTGGCTCTACTTCAGGAAGACGAACCTGGGAAGATCACATGCACCACTGCCTTTTCAGGAGGAGAACGAGGACATTAGAGGATCACAGATAACCAAAGAGTATTGCCTCAGGAGGGCATTTAGGAAGAACGTTAAGACATATAAGTTGCTTTTGGTAGGATTCTGTCTGTTGCGTTAGAACTATAGTACCTGACCTACTTTCTTCATGGAGACATTGGAAGCATTAAATGAAAGACTGGAAGCAAAATCATTATATAAACTACTCTTAGAAAATCGCAAAGTTCCACTCCTGTAAACAATGAGAAGCATCTCTCACGTAGCACCCTAGTCATGACTGCTGGCTCTCACCCCCTTTTCAGACTTTGGTATATGACTCACAGTTTCCAGTACTTTGGGTGCTAATTCTTATTTCTTAGTTCTTGAAGGTGGAATCTGTGCTAGCCGATATAAGTGTTTCCTGCCGAATTGCGCCCTCCTTTTCCACATCTACATGTGCATTTTCCTTTTTACAGGAAGGCTGAAATCTCTATGGCCGCGGGCGATACGCGTGTTCTGTCTAGTGCTGTTCTTTCTGCCATTGATAAAGACTCTCCCAGGGAGACCATTCAGTATTTATTCCAAAGGCTTCCCCAAAACGGGCAACTTCAGCTTAAGGTAAGTGGCCCATGAACACATTTATTTAATTTATCATTATTATTATTGTTGTTGTTAGAGTGCTTTTGCATTTTTAAGATTTATTTATTTATTATGTATACAGTATTCTGCCTGCATGTGTGCCTGCAGGCCAGAAGAGGGCACCAGATGTTATTATAGATGTTGGCTCATGAAGAGCAGCCAGTGCTCTTAACCTCTGGGCTACCTCACCAGCCCCTAATTAATTATTTTTTAAATGTATGTGTGCCTGTGTAAATTTATATGCATCACGTGTACAGGTGCCCATGGAGGTCAGATTCCCTGGAGCTGGATTTACAGAGGGTCGTGAAAGCCCTGATATGGGTGCTGGGAACCAAATCCTGATCCTCTGCGAGATCAGTACCAGCTCTAACCACCGAGCAGTCTTTCTGGCCCTAGAATGACCCTTTCACCTTTATTTCCAAAGCAGGTGTAAATTCTATCAGCACTTACCTTCATACAATTGAAATGTATTCTCAAATGGGCATATTTTTCACTCAAAAATAAAACATTTACTTTTTCTTTGCCAGGAGGAACTCATACCCTTCTGAATTTTCTTTATCAACTTGTAATAAATCCAATATTAAGGCTCTCCATTGCTCCCTTCCCCTGAGAATTGTCCCGAGATTCGGAAGGAAAGGCTTACCCATTTGGAACAAGCTGACTTCTAAGGAGAATCCAGCATATTTTGAGGGGTCTACATCCTCACCAGACTTTTTCATGCTGATCCATGGAACTTAGATTTTTTTTCTTTTTTTCCCCCCATCTACATTTCTCTTTTCCATCAGAAACCTTTTAAGATTGTTGCCATGCCCCTTCTTTTCCTCCCTGTAACCCTCCTTCCCTCTCTTCTACTTCTTCCTTCTAACTTCTGTGCCCTCCCCTCCCATCCCTGTACCGCTCTGCGAGATCAGTACGAGCTCTAACCACCGAGCAGTCTCTTCGCATTTCTCGTTTTCTCTGCCATGATCTAAGCTATTCTCAGGAACATGGCAGTGTTTAAAATATGTCTTTATTTTGAAGTCCCTCTTCCCAGCCTTATGCGATGTGGGAGAGAATAAACTCTCGAATCAAAAGCTACACTAGAGAGTGGTCCGTGTGGTGGTCCTCCCACCCTGCTCACTGATGGCTGTCATGTCTTAGTATCCGTTGTATTCGAATCTGGCAAACTGCATGGCAGTAAGTCAACACTCCAAATAGATCAGATATGTATATATACTCAAACTTTAATAGAAAGTGTATCAGACAGTGGTGGTGCGCGCCTTTGATCCCAGTACTCAGCAGGCAGAGGCAGGCGGATCTTTGTGAGTTCACGGCCAGCCTGGTCTACAGAGCCAGTTCCAGGACAGGCTCCATAGCTCGTAGGAGAAAGGTGAAAAGGATGGAAACATGAAGGAAGGCGCATGAAGGGTTAAATCACCCGGGTTCTGTGCTAACTGTTCCAGCAGCTTGCTTACGCCCTACTCTCTCAATTTCTTTTAGTCCGGTAATAGCAAATTTCCAGTCTATTCAGATTGCGGGCAAGATGCTTAATGTTTAGTCCAACGTGAATCATCGATCAGCCACTTGAGAAGGTCAGCCCACGCACGGGTCAGGATGTTTATGTGAACGGTAGCTAGAGACTAGCGACAACCTCTAGCGGGCCACGGTGTGACTGCCTGAATTGCGTGAGTCTTAATCTTAACGCAGGCCGGTTCAGAGCGGAAAAGCTGCGAGGCTTCGTCCTGTGGGGAACAGCTTGATTGTCACAGAGCGTGGGTACCACAGAGAGTCAGAGAGAAGAGCAATCACTGATTTAAATTGAGGTACAGCTGTGTCCTTATTTCATTTCGCAGCGTAATGAAGCAGAAACACAGCGAGAGCGCACACGTTTGGGTGGCTTGGGGCCTGCGTTGCTTTGAATATGAGAAGATCCAGATGGGGCCAGGGTCCCAGCAGGCTGCACACCATTTTCTCACACCTCCCTCGGGCTCGCTGAGGCTGGTTGACTGAGGCTAGGGACCAGGCCTCCAGGCCTCGTGGACTCTTAAGACTTCTTGTGTGCTTGTTAGCGCTGCTTTGGTTTTGTTTGCTTGTTTTTTTTTTTTTTTTTTTTTTTATTTTTTTTTCATTTTGTGTTTCTCTCTCTCTCTCTCTCTCTCTCTCTCTCTTTCTCTTTTCTTCTTCCTTTTTCTGCCTTCAGATGATTCTCTTAAGTCAAATCCATACTTGGGAATGCAAATGAAGAATTAGAAACAAGAGAACAAATGATGCCTTCCCCTGTATTTATTTTCTAGGACAGTATTACCAAGAGGAGAAATTAAATAGGATCTTATGCTGCCGGGTTTGAGAGAGTCTGTTTGAAAGTCTCTACTTACAAATAGACCTCATCAAAGAAGGAACCTAGCTTAACTACTGCAACATAAGTAACTCTACCCAGGGGACCTGCAGTAAGACATACGTCTGCAAATGTCATGAGGGCAGAAATATTAAAGAAGAAATCCCACCAAGAAGAGCAAGAGAAGTGATGACGTAGAGAGGAGAGCCCAAGTCTTGCTGGGAATTGGGGGTGGGGGTTGACCAACAAATGATCAGAGAGGTAAACCGCAGTATGGTTTATATTGTGGATCAGCGAAAGTGATGCTTTCCTCCAGTTACACGGAATGAGTTTTGTGAGCCATTTTTTAAAAAAGCTATGCTTGGAACTTGGGAGAATTAAAACAGGACGATTAATACAATATAGGTCTAATAGTTTATCCCATAATACTTTCTCAGTATAAAAGCCTCTTCTAACAACAGCGACAGCCATAGTTTCTGCCCCAAACTGCAGAACACGCGCTTAACTAGGATTGACTTGAGCTGGGTTTTGAAGATCCTGATGAAACCGTGGATGGCACTGACAGTGAATAGTTTCCACTGACTGTGTGTGTGTGAGTGCGTGTGTCTGTGCATGTGTGCGTGTGTGTATGCGTGTGTGAGAGAGTGTGTGTAAGAAAGAGTGTGTGTGTCTTGTGTGAGAGAGGAGGAAAAAAGTGTGTGAGAGTGTGTGTGTGAGCGTGTTTGTGTGTGTGTGCACGTGCATGTGTGTGTGAGAGAGGAAGAGAAAAAGTGTGTGTGAGAGTGGGTTTGTGTGTGTGCATGTGTGAGAGAGAGTGTGTAAGAAAGTGTGTGTGTGTCTTGTGTGAGAGAGGAGGGAAAAAGTGTGTGAGAGTGTGTGTGTGAGAGTGTCTGTTTGTGTGTGTGTGTGTGCACGTGCATGTGTGTGTGAGAGAGTGTGTGTTTCTGTGTGTGAGAGAGGAAGAGAAAAAGTGTGTGTGAGAGTGGGTTTGTGTGTGTGCATGTGTGAGAGAGAGTGTGTAAGAAAGTGTGTGTGTGTCTTGTGTGAGAGAGGAGGGAAAAAGTGTGTGAGAGTGTGTGTGTGAGAGAGTGTCTGTTTGTATGTGTGCACATGCATGTGTGTGAGAGAGTGTGTTTGTGTGTGTGCACACGTGCACATGTGTGTGAGAGAGTTGTGTCTGTGTGTGAGAGAGGAAGAGAAAAAGTGTGAGAGTGTGTTTGTGTGTGTGCACGTACCCACATGTGTGCATGTGTGTGAGAGTGTGTGTCTGTGTGTGTGAGAGAAGATAAAAAGTGTGTGTGTGAGAGAGAAAGTGTGTGTTTGTGTGTGTGCACGTGCGCATGTGTGTGAGAGTGTGTATCTGTGTGTGTAAGAGAGAGAGGAAGAGAGAGAATGTGTGTGTGAGAGAGAGAGGGAGAGTGTGTGTGTCTTTGTGTGTATGTGTGTGTGTGTGAGAGAGAGAGAGAGAGAGACAGAGAGAGTGTGTGTGTAGGGGGTGAGATGGGAATCTGATGGCTTTCTTTAGGTTTCAGTAAGACTAGAAAACACCAGTTCATTCTGGATTTGTTTTACTTGAGCTTGGAAGCAAATAAGCCACCTTGGGGGAACAAAAAAAAAAAAAAAAAAAACAACAAAAAAGAGATTTTATTAGTTGTGCAAAAATAAAAACTAAGATAAATAAAAAGAAGAACTTCTAAAAGAAAAACATTTAATTTCTAAGTAGCCTGTTTCAGCGGCTGATTGCCTTCCTGTTCTTGTTAATTGGGATATTTAATCAGCCATGATTACTGATGATAAATACCTTGGAAATACCAGTGCTGTTGAATGACTTTGTCAAAAGTACACTGGTTGAAGCTGTTTTTCATGCCAGCTCTTAAAGTATTTTAATATATTTCTTTGAAAAGAAAAATATAAGGTTCCAAGGCAGAAACTAGTCTAGAATTTCCCCAGAGTTCCCACTAGAAGTTTTTTAGGGCCCGGGGGAAATAGCCACTAATAGCTGGGGAAAGCCAGGGCCCCTGACTGACTGTGGCACTTTCCAGATAGGAAGGGACTGGGTCCCTCTCTCAGCTGGCATGCAGTGCACCCAGGAGGATGTGGATCTGAACTTGCTGAGATACACACACACTGGCAAGATGGATTCCCAGAATGGGGACAGTTTCGCCTTCTACCTCTGGGATGGGGACAACAGATCACCTGCGTTTGACTGTCACATCACCATCGAGGATTCGCGGAAAGGTGAGGATGTGTTTGCCCATGCTTCCCGGGACAGGGATCGCCAGAGGAAGTGGACTGGTGTAAGAGCACACACGCATGTGCTGTGTGGGGGTCCAGAGCCTCTCCTGACTTCCACAGGCTTCATGCGGCACAGACACACACTCAGGCCCAACACCAACATGCAGAGGAGAATGTGAGCTCCTGACGCTCCAGTGCCACTGCTCTGTGTTTATGGTTGCAGCTTACACCACGAGGTTAAGAATCGTAGCTTGTTCTCGACCACAACGTCTCAATGTTTTCAGATCAAACAGTCTCTGATCCTGTTTCATTGACTGAACGCTTCCTTGTTTTGCCTTGGTTGCTAGGATGCTCAGAATTAAATACAACGATTCAAGTGCAATTCAAATAACAGAAAAATGTTTTATGTGTGTGGTATAATTACAGTTGTACTGAATTAATTTTTCATCATATGAGTTAGTATTACTTTTGGGGGCATATTTATATTTTATTTACATGTTTTCCAGCTATGAAACTTTTCTAACACTAAGGACTGTCAGATAGATAAGCTAGATGACTTTGGATACATTTATTCTTCTCTGTAAAACTGTCATCGTACTGGTTAGGCTGTGATAACATCTGGGAAGAAGGAGCCTCAGTTGTGAAATTGCCCCCATCAGACTAGACTGTAGATCATTTCTCAATTAATGATTGATGTGGGAGGGCCCAGCCTACTGTGGATGGTACCACCCCTGGCCAGGTGGTCCTGGGTTGTAGAACAAAACAGGCTGAGCAAGCCATGGGAGGAAGTCACCCAGTATCCCTTCATGACTTCTGCTTCATCTCCTGCCTCCAGTTCCTACCTTGGGTTTCCTCGATGATGATGGACTGTGACCCGAAACCCTTCCTTGCTCAAGCTGGTTTGGGTCAGTGTTCTATCAGGACAACAGAAACCTCACTAGGAGAACGGTGTATGCAGGATGCTCAGGCAAACGGAATACAGCTCTCATTTTGGCACAGGCAGGTGATAGCGCAGGCTATCTACTGACTTAGCTTCAGAGCGCAGGGGAAGCCGTTCCACAGGGACCTGGAGCATCTCCTGTCCCGTCATCTCCTCATCTCTGAGGCTACAGTCACTTCGGAAGCGAGAGGCTGAGTCACATGTGAACCAGGGCCTCATCAGTTGCTTGAAGGCAGCTCACTTTTCTGTACACCTTCCAGTGGCTGAAGCTTAGTCATAGGCTGTATTAAGGGCAGTTGGGCAGTAGAAACGTCAGCAGGTGCCCAGAAGGGAATGATGCTAGGGTACAAAGTGCCCTACCACAGTCCACCATAACTGATAGACAGTTATTTTAAGAAAGATTTACGAAAACCTATAGTAAGCAGACAGATGTATTTGTCCATTAACATTTAAGAAGCTCAGAATTCCTCTTGCTTCTTTGTGTGGTGTTTTATCACTGTACAGCATTATATCCTATTCTTTATTTTATTTATGTGCCTTTTGACATTTATAAGTTGATTATTATGTTGCTCACGGTATCACATGTATAACTTTTTAAAAGATTTATTTATTTATTTATTTTGTTTTTTGATTTTGGTTTTTCTAGGCAGGGTTTCTCTGTAGCTTTGGAGCCTGTCCTGGAACTCGCTCTTGTAGTTCAGACTGGCCTCGAACTCACAGAGATCCACCTGCCTCTGCCTCCTGAGTGCTAGGATTAAAGGCATGCACCACCACTGCCCGGCCCTATTTATATTTTTTATTTATTTTTATGCTGTATGTGTATGAGCTTTGTATGTATGTCTGTGTATCATGTGCACCTGGTGCCCCTGGAGACCAGAAGAGGGCGACAGATACCCTAGAACTGCAGTTACCAATGGTTGTGAACTGCGATGTTGGTGCTGGAAACTGAACCCAGGTCCTCTGCAAAGAGCATCCAATGCTCTAAACTATTGAACCATCTCTCCAATCCAAGCGTACCTTGTCTCAAGTAGAGTCATATTGAGTAGCTGGTCGTACCATCTCCTTTATACAGACCACATGCTTAGTTCTGTCTAGGACCTATTATAAACAACTTTAACCTTCCAGTTGTGATAAGATGTGTTCTGATTTCCACAGTGGCAAAAAGGATGCCTTTAGGAGAGGTTTAGGGTGCACAGGTCTGTAGTTTAGCTATTTCCAAACTCTGCCTTCCTTCCCAGTGCTGAAGAGCTGGGTACTCTTCCTCCTCCTACAGGCGGCTATGCCCCTGGGAAAAGGGCTCTGCAATATTTTGACTTTCCCTGCTAATATTTGTTTGCTCTTCTTATTGCGTTTGGTGTGTTTATCACCGTTACCTCAAAGCATCTGCAAATTAGATTTTCATTTGAATTTACAATGGTGTTTCAGTCTTTCATTTAAATTGGAGATAAACGGCTCAGTATGCTCAAAATACCAGTTTGGTTATTTGAAACAGAATTCCATCATCTTGGCACTCCTGACATTTTGGAATGAATAATCTTTGTCACAGGGAATTTTCTTGTGAACTGTGGTATGTTTAATAGCAAGGCTGGCCTCTGCCAGTAGAAACCAATAATATGATCTTTAGTTATTGATAACCAAAGATACCTCCAGAGTTTGGTCGGACAGATGGCTCAATGTTTAAGAGCATTTATTGCTTTGCAGAGGACTATGTTTGGTTTCCAGTACCTACATGATGACTCACAGCCATCTGTAACTCAAGTTCCAGAGGATCTGATGCCCTCTTTTGGCCTCTGCAAGAACTAGCCACACACACACACACACACACACACACACACACACACACACACACTGAATAAATAAATGTAAACATAAATATACTGCTTGGTGTTTTATTTCCCCTTATTTTCTCAAGAGGTTTGTCTTAGTTAATTTCTATTTCTGTGATGAGATACCGTGACCAAGGCATTCAGTTTCAGAGGGTTGGGTCCCTAACCACCACTGTGAGGAGCGGCAGGCAGATAACCATAGTTCAGTCCCTAACCACCACCATGGGAGCAGCAGCAGGCAGGTAAGCATGGCTATAGAGCAGCATCCAATGCTTCCATCCCATTCACAAGCTAATTGGGTTTTGGGTTATTGTTTAGTTGGGTTTTTGTTTGTTTCTTTGTTTTGTTTCTTGAGACAGGGTTTCACAGTGTAGCCCTGTCCATCCTGGAACTCACAGTGTAGACCAAGCTGGCCTGAAATTCAAAGATCTGCCTGCCTCTCTGCTTTAGGATTAAAGGCGTGTGCCACCACACCTGGTGGCTTTTGTGTTTTTAATCTGTTTCACATATTTTATCTTTCTTGTTGGATATTTGCCCCTTTGGTGCCTGCCGATTGTTGAGGAGGGAGTAGAATGGTGCAGTGGTTATGAGTTGTGCTTCTAGCTGGTGACTTGGAGCTGCTTCTGGCTCTACTTTATTATTAACACATAGCCTCTAGCAGAAGTAACACCTCCACACCCCGATTTTCATCTGTGGGTTGCCATAAAGCTCTTCCTCTCAGTATAGCTGAGCGCATGGAAGAGCCCAGTCCTATGCCTGACACCAAGCAGCCCTGCTCATTTCTATTCTTTACTTATGGTGTGGTGTTAAGAGTCGAGCCTTGGTCCTTGGGCATGCCAGGCAAGCGCTTTATCACTGAGCTACATCTCTAACTTAAAACCTTATTATTTTAGATGTGATCATTTTGAATGGCTGTCCAGTGAAAGAAACATCGTCAGCGAGCACTAATCACTTCTATCTCGCTCATTCAAATGCTCACCTATGGGCTTTCTTAAGCATTACAAGCAGGTGTATTATACAATGTACCCTTGCTTCTTCTGTGAAGGGTTTGCTCAGTCCTTTTGACTCGTCCTTTTCTTTAGTTAGAAAGGATCCCCACAGCAGTTAGTTTTGACTTGATTGCAGTTTGGCCTTTGTTGTTTATATTTGCCTTGGACGTTGTGTTAGTTACTGTCCCCGTTGCTTTGATCAAATACTGAGAAGCAATTTGGGGGAAGAAGGGCTTATCTTGGCTCACAGTGCGGGGAGACATGGTGGCAGGAACTGGAGGCAGCTTGCTACCCATTTTGCATTCAGTGAGGAAATAGAAAAATGAAGACTGGTGATCGGCTTGCTTTCCTTTTTATTCTTTCTGGCCTCATCTCATGGATGATACTGCCTACATTCGAGGTGAGTCCTTAGCAGCTGTACCCAGAGTTGTATTTCCATGATGATCCTAAATCCAAACAAGTTAAGAATGAGGGTTAAGCCGGGCCTTGGTGGCGCACGCCTTTAATCCCAGCACTTGGGAGGCAGAGACAGGCAGATCTCTCTGAGTTCGAGGCCAGCCTGGTCTACAAGAGCTAGTTCCAGGACAGGCTCTAAAGCTACAGAGAAACCCTGTCTTGAAAAAAAAATGAAGATTACACATCCCAGGTAGCACATGTATTTAATTTAGGGAGTTTTGAGAATGGCGGACATGAGTGCTCTGTTTGCAGCATTTCCTCCCTTTTTGTTCCTCTCCAACGCCTTCCATTTCTTCCATATACCCCCCACTCACTCTCAAATTATTGGCTCTTCCTCTTCAATCTCTATTGCTACATCCATATGCACACGACCTGCTGAGTCAATTTAATGTCGCTCATGCATATGTGTGCTTAGGTCTGACCACTGGGGATTGAATAACCTTATCAGGGGCTCATTCCTAGACCAGACTGGTTCATCCACTTTCAACAGCTGTTAATTGCCTATAGGTGGATATTTGCCATCTAAGGGTTGCGCCTTGTGAGATTCCCGCCATGCACATTGATTGGCATGCCCACTGGTATTGTCGTCTTTGTGGGACTTGTTTAGATAACCATAGTGTTAAGATTTCATAGGTGCAGCTACCCTCTCATACATACAAAACACTATCTCCGCAGGTATTCTGATCATCCAACTTCCGGTGTTTCCGGCCCCTCTTCCACTATGTTCCCTGTACCTCAGACTACGGTGCAAATATGTTGGAGTTGGGTGCCCCAAAGGCAGTAGTTCTCTGCCTTTTGAACAGTTGTGGGTTTCTGTAATGGTTGCATCTCCTGCAAAAAAAATGTCTTTGACGATGAGTGAGAGATTTTATAGCCGAGAAACACCTTGGCTTTTCTCTTCTGGCAGCTTGCATGACCCCTTTAACCCTTGGGGAGCCAGTCCTGAGGGAGGAGCTGGAGGAGCTGGATCCAGATCAGGTCCACCCCAGTTCCTCCAGGTCCTGAGTCTGAAGTGTGTGGTACCTTCGGCAATAGGGGCATCAAGCATTTTTAAATATTAATCTTAACCAAAATCTCCTTGCCACACAGGTGATATTGTGATTCATGCAAAACCACTCGTGGTAGCCAAAGGTGACAGAGGTTTCTTGTCGACTGCCACTCTCCTGGCTGTGGATGGAGCAGACAAGCCCGAGGAATTACTCTACCTCATCACGTCCCCACCGCAGTATGGCCAGGTGGAGTACATCCACTATCCCGGAGTCCCCATCACCAGCTTTAGCCAAATGGACATAGCAGGACAGACAGTCTGCTACATACACAAGAGCTGGGTGGCCGTCCCCAGTGACAGCTTCGGGTGAGCCCATGACATTTTTCTGAACCCATCCTTAAATGAAAGTTTAGGAAGAGAAAAGGAGTGGAGTTAGTATATTAGCAGTAGCCTTTGTGCTGTGTGTTTCTCTAACATCTTACATAGCTTCGGGATGCTTGAAACAATGCGATCCTTTAAAGGAGGGAACATGAGGTCCTTTCTGGCTCCCCAATAGCTGGGGTTTCTTGTTTCCTGACTGTGGCAAAGGTGAAAGCCTGCTATTAAAATGATAGAAGCATTGCAAATCACCAGGGCTGGGGTTAAAAGCCAAGTGAGATCAGCAGATCTGTGTTCAAGCTCTTCTCTGAAAAGAACACAAAGAACCGAGAAGACCCCCCCCCCCGCTCCAGAAAGACGTAGAAATGTAATTCCCCCTTTCCGACTGCATTTTTCTATCTGAGGAAAAGGCGCATATTAGCATAATAAATTTGGCATGCGCAGACACTGCCTTTTGACACAACATGTTCCTGTAACTATATCATAAATCACGTTGTCACAAAGTGGATCATATTTCCCCATAGAAACCGGGTTATAATTGGGGACTGTGCACCTGCTCAAGGATTTGGCATCAAATAAATCACTGGGATGAATAACAATCTGGGGTGAAAAGGCAAAGATACAACACTAATGCAAATCTGCCTTCATTGAAAATGTGGAAATTTGTTTCTAGCCTCATAAAACAGGAGAAATTCTGAGGGCTGTGTCTAGCGATGGGAAAGATGGCTGGTTTGTGGTCCCTGATAAAATTGGAGATCCAGGCCAGGCATAAGGACTGGGCAATCTTGGATTAGGTAGTGGGTATGTGATCTACCCCTGGCTTTCACTAGTTAGAGTGCATTAACTTATCTGCCATATATACAGGACTTCTGATCCCAGTAAGATGTTTACCATGTCCACTTAACCTCCCAGAGTGCACCATACGGTAACATGGGCATACTAGGCTCCTGTTTTATCCAGTAGGTTATAAACTCCCATAAACTGCCACAGGATAGAAAGGCACCCGCACTCAAATGGCTTCCTTCTCTGTCATATTTTACCTGTCTAAATTCCTGCTGTGGTGAGCAGTCTAAGCATCGGAGAGGATGATGTATGTTGCTTGTCATTGGAGCTTTCAACATGATTCTGAGGGTTGGTCTAGATTAAGTCCAGTGTTGAACAACAACAAAAACATCAACAGACAGGAATCAGTACTTCCTTTTATCATTCTGTCTTTCCTCTCTCCATCCCTCTCTTTCATATGTGTGTTCCTGTACGAGTGTTGCACGTCTGTTGTATGTGCAAGTGCATAAACCCGTGCAATGCAGAGAACAAGTCTGGATGTTGTTCTTCAAATGCTGTCCATCTTGGTTTTCAGACAACGTCTCTTATTAGCCTTGATCTTATCCAGCAGACGAGGTTGGCTGGCCAGCGAGCCCAGGAAGCCTCCTGTCTCTGTCCCCAGCACTGGATAACCAGAGCAGGCCAGTACACCCAACGTTTTTATGTGGCTTCTAGGGCTCGTTTAAGTCCTCATGCTTTCAGACCAAACCTTTGCTAGCTGATGCACCTCTCCTGCCCCTCTGTCTCTTTAGAGATGTCCTAAAACAGGAAGAGAATTAGTTAATGGAGCGATATCTTTACTGAATCTGTGCTTGAGCATTGCTGGCCGTGAATGAAACCGTCCGAAGAGAGAGCTTCCTGGTCTAGCTGGCTCTTGTGTTTAAGTGCCACGTTGCCATGGTGAAAACTAAGAGTCGTGTATTGCCTTTGTGGCTAACAGCTCCATGGGCTTCATCAAGTTACCCAACCACTTGTATTGTTGCTCCTTCCATGGGCCTGAATAGTGATCACTGTACTAACTAAACAGGGTCATGGCGAGGCCCGAAGGAACTAGGCATGTGATATGCGTACAACAACATCTGGCGTATAAGAACACCTGGGCGAGCACTGCCTGCCGTTGTTGTGCTGGTGTTGCCGTTGGTATTTAGTATGTTCTTCCCATGGCCACTGTCTCACCTTCCGTCTTTGTAGCAGCAAGCAGGATCATGAAAAGTTTAGCCAGGACCAGTGCTTGCTCCTTCCTCTCTTTGCCAAGTGAAGTGGGTGCTCCTTGGTCTAATGTATGCCTATCAGAACCAGGGCTTTTGATTTTAGAGGATTTCTGGACCTTCTTGTTTTTCTCCATTCCTGCGTTTCTAGCCAGTGCCCACAGGACTCCAGACATTAGTAGCAGGGAGCTGCCTGGGGAACCAGTGAGTGAACACACACAGATGTAGGGAAGTGAGGGCCAGGTGATAAGATGGCAAAACCTAAGCCCAAGTCCCTTACTTAAGGACTAGTGATCCTATGAAATGCTTAACTCCTATCAGCAAAAGTAACCTTAGCTGGCCTTTTAAAGCTACTTCTCCTAGGAGTATCTCCTTTCTTTAGCTCATCAAAATCCAAACTCTTGGGCCTTGTGCTAGTTTGGGTAACTCCAGTCCCCGCTGTTATCTGTCTTTGAAAGCTCTTCAAGAATCTGATGCTTCAGGACCAGCATCCCTGAGCTGGCCTAGTTCATTGCTCTGAGTGTGTTCTGAAGGTCTGTGAGGATTTCCAGAAGACATCCCAGGCCCTCCTTGAGACAAAGAGAATGAGGGGATGATTCCAAAGGGCCCTGGGGTCCTCACCTCAATGTGCTAATTGGACTTCAATTTGTTTTGCTTCTTGACATTCTGTTTCCTACATGGGTTTTGTACACTGGGTTTCTTGGAAGGTTTTTGTCAGCAGAAATCAGGGGCCTGATTGTCTAGAGCCAGGGACTGGGTCTTAGGTGGTGCAAAGACGTGAAACTGTGGGGGTTGCTGGAGGAAGAAGCCACATGGAAACCAAGGACTGGAGAATGAGAAGCTGGCCCCGCTGGCTCACTCACTCCTCGGAGTGGTCCCCAGGGAGGTCAAGGATTGGTGTGGCTGTGCCCTAAGAGCTCTGCATACTTAGTTTCCTCTCTTTAACAAGGAATACAAGCCCCGGTATCTGTGCCCTTGAGGACCGTCTACCCAGGATTTAAGAAATTGTTTCCTTGTATCTATCTCTGTAGCACTTATGGAATTGAGACTTTTAATATGCAAATATTTCTAGCTTTTGAGTTAAAAGGTTTCTTTCTAAATACATTGACTTAAATAGAAAAACAGTTAAGCAAGAACAAACAAACAAACAAATAGAGCGGAATCAGCAAATTCTGAGAGCGAAGGTAGTGCAGGCTTGTGGGCGTCATCAAGATGGTCTTTGAGTGTCTCGGGATTAGAAAACAGGACTGCAGGGAGAACACAGGGGCTGGAATCGTTCATGTTTTCCAGCACCTTCATTTACCTGTGGGGATGCTCCTCTTGTCTGAGCACCCACATCGCCAGGGGCTGGGCGCCAGACACTTGCAGTCTGTCTGTCTCTCAGGCCTCCAACCACCATCTTGAGAATAATGTACTTCTGACCAGTTTGTGCGCAGAATCCTGACGTTCCAAGAGGCAAAGGAAGTCACCCAGTTGACAATAACAATCGCGCATCAGAACTCACTGGGGGGCTGAGAGCTTATTTCAAATGAAGTATTCTTTGCGCTGTACCTTTCTTGTGTCAAAAATTTGTGGAGACTCTGTTTGTGCAAAGGAAGCCCCTCCATGTGTCGCTCTGATCTGGGGCCAGCAGTTTTACATATTTATAATGGAGGAGCCTCGCATCTGCCCAAGATCCACATTTTAATCTTGTCATTTCGCTCACCCAATCGCAGGCTGCCGTGTTGTTTGTCAGGTGGCTCGGAACCAAAGCTGAGTGCCTGTTTTAATGAAAGTGTGATCATGGCGCTTTTTAAAAATTAAATATATGCAACCAATCTAATCACCTAAATTTATGTTGCTCGCTGTTAAATTTGGCAAGGAATTTGGCTGGGTAAAAGGGATGAATTCTATGGTAGGAGAATGTTTCCCCTTTCTCTTTTTAATGTAAGATGTGGCAGCCTTAATTAAATAGGGCTTAATGGTTGGATTTTACCTTCTGCAAAAATATTTTGTGAATCATAAATTTCCCCTGCATTGTTTGGTGCTGCTGGCCTGGAAGAGAGATTTGGCAGCCCACGCTAGGACAGATGACACGGAGCGATTAGCAAGCTGACTTCAGCTGCTGGCGGCTGGGTCCTGAAAGAACATGTTAATGTCCTCCATTTTGACATGCCGGCTGGACTTTTTTTTTTTTTTTTTCCTGAGGAGCTGGCGCTATTTATGATTCCATTTTTATCTTTTAAATGCCATGACAGATGGCAGATTCTTCAGCCAACTCCATTGCCAGGAAATGCAGGAAGCTTGACAGCATTGTGGTAATGGTAAAATCAGACCAGGCAGACACCCCCAGATGAATCCGAAGTCATTCCCCAAATTTCACGAGGATGCTGGTCATCCTGGCAGTGTCTTTTCCCCGGGAGGCGGGTACCAAGGGAAATCAAACAAAATGGACCTGCAGAAGGAGCTAATATTGCCATACGGCCAGTTTCCTCACCTCAGGACGGACACTGTTGACTCACAGAATGCGTTTGCAGGGCTTTAAGGGAGGCCTGGGTGAGTCTCTCCACTAGCCTTTTGCAGGCGAAAACTGTCTTGACCTTGTTCGATTGCCGTGCTGGTTTCGCTCTGACGGGAATCCAAGCAGAACCGCTCACTCTGTCTCTCACCTTGGCGGCGCTTCCCCGCCAGTGCGGGGCGTCCATCATTATTCACAAAAGTGGAATGATGTATTTGACTCAGTCATGTCTGGAAATTGCATCTTTTTTCACCCCTGACTTATTAGCTTTAGGTCAATGCAGACAGCTGCTTCGGTGGCCCAGCTGGGAGCACTGGCCTCAGTAAATGTATTTCTTACTCCTCCGTGGTCCCTGGCCTGCTCACCCTCATTCCCATCTGTCAGATGGCGCATTGCCTGTTCCCCAGGTGGTCAGATTCCCCGGCATCAGGAGGGGAGGTGTGAGAGGACAGCATGGCTCA